CCTCTTACTTCTCAGGCAGAAAACTATTATTCATCGAATATTGAACTAATAATAAGTGAATGTTGGAAAAAATTGATTTTGGATGATGGACCAATGTATCGTTCGATATGCTCCATATTCAATATCGAGTTCATATTCGTATAGAGAATTGGACAAAAAATATATGATGCCAATTCATAAAAACCAATCCCAATTCTCACATAATGAGTCGATATTGAATTGAAATTTGCCTAATATATTGGCCAGAATAAGAATGTGATAATTTCGCTCTATCATCTTCATGTTGAAATTATAAATTTGGTGTCATTTCAGCCTCATATAAAAAAACTAGCGATATTGGTAAAATTATACATCAGCATCATGTATGAGATTCATTTTTTTTATGGATACCAGAATACCGTATTGATCTGCTATTTGAATCAATTCAAGGATGATGAAGATGTGATACCATATAAATTCAATATTATTCTCCGAGATTGATTCGATATTGAAGATAAAATTGATCATTGAATATCGAAATGCAAAAATTTTTTAGATATTGCGACGATCTAGTTACTCCATATTCAATATTCGAATATTGGGCTGATGTGCAACCAAGCTCTTTTGAATGTGATGTTATTGAAATTGTTCATTGTACATTGGATGAAACGAAAAATACTCTTCCCAACAGCCAGATCAATATTCTGCACTTTCGTTTCACCACACCGACGTAAAATGCATTTATTCGTTTGGTTTTTCATTTGATTATCCACATGATGATCAGAGATCGACGAAAATGATTGTTTATCGAAACTGTTCAGGAAATAACAAGAAAGTGGAATCAATATGAGTGATGGATAATACTCAATGCACAATATATCAGGTTAGATCAGGAATTTTTCCCAGAATCATGTTATGATTCGAAACCTTTTTAATACGCATTGTTTATTTAGTGTAAAGTAGGGACCTACCTCATGAAAGAATTTTGTTCACTGTAACTGGTACTACATTGAACATTGCATCTTGCGCAAACACATTGGGATGATTTCACAGAAGTGATGTTTCCCATTTGATATCGATCGTTTATCATCGAATTTTCTGCATACCTTCGTTGATTGATCGTCAATCGATAGTCACTCTCAGTCATAAGCAAACTAATGAATATTCTGCTAATAAACACCTATACCACTCCATTACTTCGCAGTAGACTCAGTTATACATCCAGCAGATATTGTTCGTACATCAGCATAGTGGTATTCCAAGATTCAAGAATGTGAATTTCATTTGATCTATCGATAACATGTTCATGCTCTTCAGAAAAGCAACTGTGAGAGGAAGCCAAGGTGGATGAAACTCGAATTCGCATCAATTGGATCTCGTAAACCGTAACAGATACAGGGTCGGTCGAATTACAGCGAAGTTGCGCATTTCTATGTGATATGCTGTTCTGAAACTGTGGAATTTTTGATTACTTCCATAGGATATTCGAAAGAACCGAATATCCGCGAGTTCATCTAAATTTTTCATCACCCTATTTTGATGGATGTAACAGAACAAATAATACCTAACTACTTCTTCTGTTCTACAAGATGTAGTCATCAGATTTTCAAACCGACTTTTCGTCTGTGAGATACCATTATCAACTTTGTTTTCTTTCAAACGACTATGGATTTATGTTTATCGATTTTGAGAGCATTCGATCTCCTCGAATCAACAATGTAGGTGACACATTTATTCGAAAAGGTGTTTGTTCCCAATCTTATTGAAAATCTGTTCTCAGTCTTTGTCCTACACATAAGTTCTGCAAGCAAATGCTATTCTTCTGGGTTCTTCGAATTAGTTCGATTCGCCGTTGGTTTTAGAAAACCGAAAACTCTCAAATTCCATGATATATATAATCTCGGACCGTATTTAATTGAACAAATTTTATGACGACATCTCAAAGACAAACCGTCGGTTTGGAAGTCTGATAACACCAACTTATACAATAAAAAATGTTGCAATGATAATCTGTGAATTGTTTTGTTACATCTATTCGAATAAAATGAGAATAAGGAATAGAAATAGCATCTAGTCAGATGAAATATGAATAGACAAAATCGTGATTATTCCGTTTATTACAAAAACATTTGGGATCATTCGGAATTTTTGAAATTTCGAAATGGCATTTTGTTGAGCACAAAATTGCGCAACCTTGTCAATATTCAACCGACTCAGTATCTCTTACATGATTCAAATGATGAGGCTTGAATTTCAGTCACCCTGTACATGAAAATATCATTATTATTCGACCAATAAATATTTCTCTCGATTCAGAGTGTGTATGTACATTGTGTGGGGATTCTTTTAATGAGAAAAAACTGCTCGAACAAAATTGAGTGGTCATTATGGATGTTATTTTCCACTCGTTTGAATGAGATTGCCAAATGATTTGTGGTTGATAGCTCTGCTAATGACTTGTAAACAGGCAACTAATTAACCAACACTGGCTCAGACCAATGTTTTCATCGACATTAATTCATTTACCCGTTCACAAAATATCTGGAAAATATGGATATGTTTGTAGTGAGGTTTATTTTATAACTTCCACATTCACAAATGTCAATGATTGCGTAATGCAATTTGTTTGTTCAACAAATATGATAATGCAGTGTGAGCTTGTTCTCAAAGATTTTCGTGAGAATCTAATTTGTGCGAATCAGGAGAAAGGGTATTCCCAGAGATCATCGCAATACAATAATAGGTTTTCAGTCGAGTTTTTTTATGTTCTGGTTCCCACAAAGAGGAATATCCTGTAATGATCAAAGAACATCATGAAAACCAAGGAAAATAAGGTAGGAATTTGAGTTCTTCTTGGATTTCTGGAGGTTATATGCCTCAGGGAACACCTCCCTCGGCAATGTGTTATAGAACCTGGATGTTCGTTGGATGATCAACTCTTTGGAAATAGCTGTTCTGCAGGTCTCCAATGTGACCACCAAGAGATGCAAAGCCTCAACTCGACGGGTTAATTTCGCGAGTAGGTACTGCCAATGGAGGAACAATTGTTGATATTCCAGAAGAGCATCGTCCATGAAAATATCTATAGAATAGAGCCAGATTGACAACTTCTCTATGGTATTCCAGAAAAGTTAGTGAGTTTGTGAGCGTTGCATCACCCACGAGACCGTTTGCCCTATTTTGGACAGAATCCAACAGTTTCAGGGTATGTTTTGGTGCTGCACTCCAAATATGAAAACAGTTGTGAAAACTCTGAGTAGAAATGTTTGGGATAAATTTCAATATGTTTCGATACTGACTGATTCTCGTTTTGAAAGAGAACGAAGATTTCATAACCATGTTAAAAAATGTTTCACTCTCGAAATTCTTTTGTCACGTGAACAAATTATCAGATTGAATTGATTTCGTTCATTTAATATTTCGCCCTGGTGAAAAAACTTTTGTTATGATGACGAATTTTCTGTCGAGAATAGGGTCAAAGTATTTTGTTGATTTGATCAATCTGTTTTCTCCTGCACATGACTTTTTCCTGACTGGAATGGAGATATTTCATATTCTTTCACCATGAAAACTGCTGTGTGATTTTTGTAATATTCCAATATCTTATCAGTCAGATTCAACAACCATTTCATCAGCCTGTTGAATTGATTACACGAAAAAAACTTCGAAGATGCAGCGCCCCCACAGCCGCCACTGTCGCCATTGACGGTAGATCAAAGATAGGGCAAACATCTAATTAATTCACATGTCACTGTTTATTGTAGTATTGTCACAATATGGAGATGGTATGGAATCCCACCATTCGACCATATCGATTCACGAGGGCTTAATGGCTCGTGAGAGGTTATATTTGAATGAGCCTTAATACCTCTGTTGTAGCTGAAAGAACGAGATTTTATTCAGACATAACAATAATTTTTGAAGAATTCAATAAAATGGGTAGTGAAGATCAATTTGAGAGAACAACATTGAATACGAAAACATAATAACAGCTCACATCATCATTACCATTAGGATAATATCTTGTCGAGTCAAAAGTCGGTCCAGACCAAAACTAACTTTGGAACCCTCACATCCAATATCTATTTTCTCATGAAAGTATTTTGATCTGTATTCATTGTTCAATGTCGACGAATAATTTGATCAATTCTATGTTCATGAAATCACCTTGGTTCGACATCACCAAGTGTCAACTAGAAGTGAGGAACAAAAAACAGTGCAAACTTTGTAGTACTCGAGAAACTCAGATTTTTTTCGACTGATTTTTGTCCTATTCGGAACTCCTGAGACACTGTATCGAATTGATTGATTTGATTCTGGAGCTGTAGGGATTTGCTATCTGATTTTCACCTCAATTGATATTCACTTGGGTTCGAGGAATCTTCAGATACAGGACATCAATAATATTCTTTTATTCCACAGAGCTATGAATTCCATTTTTTTTTCTTGAGTGAATGCAACATCCGATTTGAAGAAATCTTCATCGAACGAAATGATGGAAACTGAGTTGATTGAGATAACGCAGGTCTCATCTCTCGTTGATGTGCTTGAAGAACTGAAATTGACAGAAATAGAATCTTTGACGAAGTCATAACGGTGGTGCCATAACGTTTTATGTAGTTGATGGATGCTACTTGCTCCACAATATCGTGTTACACCGTGATAACTCAATTAGAGCTTTCGACGCAAAACAAAATACCTTCATTGATAACCTATTGTGATAGAAATGTGGTAGTTTTCTTGACAAACATTCAAAGGTAGAGACCACACAGCATCAGAACTGTTGGAAGACTGTGTCTTTATGTAGCAACAGACTAGAGAAAAAACATCATATGAAACGAAGTCATCGTTGGAGATGTTTAGAATCTATTATTCATCTCAAATTGATTCAGATTCAACGTTGAGAGTGCGATTTATCGATAGAGAAGTGTTGAGGATAGTTATCGATGGTGCGATTTCACGAGTTTCAATCGAGGGAGCTTGAAAAAGTTGCAAACATGATAATTATAGCTATTTTTCAGAATAATGAAGACCTTGTGGAAGGTGCCAATGGACTTCTGCTACTCAATGCTATCTATGATGGAATGGAGCCTGCTAAGAGGAAGTGCCTGGTATCTTTGCATGGACCTTACATCCTTCGATCTGATTTATTCGTGAAAAGCGCTGCCGATGCAATAGTCCTTCTAGCTTGTTGGCCAGCAACCGAAGGAGCTGCTACCTGCTCAAAGCAGCTTCCGCACATACATTCAATAAAACAGCAATATATGAGAAGAGTCCAGAGCAGTTCAGGAAACTGTGGTTTCGATCGGAATGGAGTTGTGAAATTCTACATTTCGGAATTTTCACATATCAAGAAAATACTGATACTGTGCAGATCTGCTGGCCTGTTGAAAGTTCAATCCATTCGAACGATGATGATAGGCAGATGTTCCATCCAGTGACTGTCATTGACCTGATGGGAAATGTATTTTGTGTGGGATTTTAAGTCGACCAGTGACAATGATATATAGCCTATATCGAAGACTGGAACCTTTGGCACGATAATACACTACACTGTTTTGCCACTAACTCAACCGATCTTTCAAGCGCCCCGACATGTGTTTCGCTAACCATGTTAGCATCTTCAGGAGAAGATTGGAACTGTTTTATCATTTTCCTGAAGATGCTTACATAGTTAGCCAAACACGTGTCGAGGCATTTGAAAAATCGGTTTGGTTAGTGGCAAAACAGTGTAGTGTATGATAAAGCGAAATTCCGACCAATTGACTCTAGGATGATTCAAAGTTCGAGGTATAATTCAACTCTTCATTCTGCAATTCAGTCGATCTGAGATCATGAAATTCACAAAGTGAATTTCATACAATTGTCATTTCAAATGATTATACTGGGTGTTGGTTCAGACATGGATGGTGTTTCAATTGAAATATCCACAAGGGTTACCCCAAACTCAGATTCCTTGAATGAATAAACCAACATATGATCATAATTTGATTCTAATGAAGGAATTTTGTATTTTGTGTGGAATTTTCCTGAAAAATCGCGTAGTGCTCTTCGCTCATGATCCGTCATCAGTTCTATACTCGTCAAGTATCAATGAAGGGATCAAAAATTCAATCGACGGCATCATTTTGTTACAAACAGTAAAGTGAGAACAGACCCACTTTCAACAAGAAATTACCCCATTGAGATATTGTGAATTTTTTGTAAAATACATTTTCCATCCAGAGAAAAGCCATTCGTCTGGAGGGTGATGCCATACTCACGAATACTTTGACTTCATCAGAACACCGTAGAAAAGTCGGCGACTTTTCACTTTCCTATGGATACTTCTGAGGAGAATGTTCTCAAGAAACCGGTATCACTCTATTACTAGCAATACCATTTAGACTTCTCCCTATTCTTTCTAGGAACGAACGTTGTTGTCCGAACATTATGGGAATTTTATTTTCGTGCGCTCCACCATACAGGGTGTCCCGAAATTAGCCTGCCAAACTTCACCAGCGGCTTCTACTATCAAAAATAGATAGGAAACTTTCCATGAACATGAGTCAAGAAATGTCTTTTAAGGGAGCTATGGCCCCCTGAAAGGGTGCTCCTGAAGATGATAGTTTTTGAATATTTTCGAAACTCTATGTAATGAAAAGATGCAATATGGTACAAGAACTGAACTTTCTATGCACAATGCGGTTAACCTGAAATCATTTCAATATTTCATTCAGTATGTATATGTATGTATATTTTTCGACAATTCAATCTCAGAATAGGAAATTTCGCACCTCTTCACAAAACAAAGGTACTCTTGTTCCGTGATGATCAGATGTATTATCATCGAGTAAAACCAATTTAAAAATCTTGTTACATGTCAGATATTGTGCATTACATTGAAATGAGGCGTAGTGGATATAGAAAATTTTATCCCGTAGCGTTTCGAAAATATTGAAGAAATATTATTTTCAGGAGCACCCTTTCAGCTCCCTTAGGAAAAATTTCTCGACTCATGTTCCTTGGAACTTTTCTTTCTAATTTTGGTCAAAAAAGCCGCTGGTGAAGTTTGGAAGGTTAATTACGGGACACCCTGTATAATGCAGGGCCATCAATTGATGATTCCTATACTGTCGAATTTTGTTCTATCCACGTTGATTGCTGATAATATCAATAATTATAATAATGTTTATTTCTAATCAACAAAGATTCTCATTGAAGCAAATATTTGCTTGTACATGAGGGTTTGAATTATTTTAATTATCCTCATTCTGATTATGATGAATGATACAATATCGTGCCAATCAATTCGATTAAGTGAATGAATTAACTGATCTGTAGTTTGACATTGTGAATACATATTGAATACAGAAGAAGATCTCGGCCCTTGAATATGATGTATCATCTATATACTCTCGATTTGACTTCAAGTTTGAGTTTCCATCAATGTAAGATCTTCCCAGAATATTATCCTTCCAACTAGAGTCAAATGAATGCTTTCGAAATTCGAACCTTTTTCAAATCAGGACCGTGTCCTGAAGAAGATCATTCTCATCATTCTAATCTTGATAGGGAAATTCATGTGCAGTAATGTGGAAAAGAATTTGGTGAGAATCATATCTGAACTAGATGATAAAATGAATTCTCGAATTTACATAGAGTTCTAGATGGCTCATAAAGAACGAATGATCGTATTGAGAATCAAACGACCACAAATAGAATCCTTTCCGTGACTGGAAGGAAATATTTCTGAGCACATTTCAATATTTATCAACAATACTTTGGTCGCCAGTATATTTCGAAAACTTTTCGTGATATTTTGAATTGGGAAACTCTCGTTTTGAACGTGGAAGAGCAAAAATTGGCTGATTCAACCAACTCCATTCTCGATATGCCAATAGTGACGTCTTGAAAATATGGCCTGTATAGACGGCAATGGTTCGAGTTATTAACCGATATCCAAATTCACGAATCTGTTCTAATTTTCCACACGGGTTGGTATTTATTTCCACTGCATCCAACTGCATAATCTACAAATTCATTAAAACTTCCCAATGGCCATAGTGCAGAATTCGAACCGGGTAAACGAACAAAGTTGCTGAATCGTTAGACGTCCATCGAATCGCTGACGGTATGCAGTGAGGCTCACAAATATTGACTTTAATTAGAGCTCGAGAGTTGGTCGAAGAAAAATCAGATTACACACTAAGGTCAGCAATCTAGGCCGCAAACTGCCAAAAGTCTACATGATTTTCAAAGTTGTGGATGAGTGGTTTCAACAAAGCTAATGCTTGATTATATTTATCACGTAACTGATAATCAATAAATGCCTACCTTGTCATTGAAATATCGATCATAGAGGCAGATTGACCTAATATTGCAAATTGGAAAGTGGTGTATCAGTCTCTCATTTATGGAGGTACATTATTAACGAGAGTAATTTTCAGTGGAACCTTCGGAGTGCTTTCCAGGAACTGAATCCTATCGTACTTTTTTGCGCACATACAGGGTGTGAATTTGAAAACCTTGAATGCGAATATCTTGCGAAATAAAAAAGTTAGAAAAATGCTGTTTGGCACAAATGCTGAAAAATAAGAGGGAACCAGAACCACCATGTTTCAGTGAAGGGATGAGTCACCCCGTCGGCGCGACACACCCCAACTTTGAAATGTCAATAGGAATGATACCCCAAATGAAGGGTCTCAGTCAATAGTATTCACCTGCACAAGACTTTTGTTCACCCACTACAGGGAGTACAAGAAACATAAAGTCGATGGTGGTGGTGAAGGTTTCTGTTTGGAATTAACCCTCAGATATTTATACTAGGTACTTGAAGGCCAATGTAATGCATCCCTCCTTCTATGTCTTTCCCTACTGCTACGTCCACACCATCCCACTTTGAGATCTCATGATCGTATTCTGCTGGTTATTACCGAAGCCACATCACACTTTCAATAGTTCAATATTTTTCTGGGGTAATTGGCACTTTTTGATGATTCAAGGGCACGTTCTAATGATTTCATGAAATTTCTATACTTTTCATGAAAAACACAAATTATACATAAGCAGTCATGAAGATCTTGCCTCTGTTTGCTCTGATATTGCCTACTTCAAATCAAAACAAGATATTTATTCGACCTTCAAATACAAGGAGTCCCAAAGTTATCGAATTTGGGCAATATCTCGCTCATTTGTCGAGATGATGCAATGATTGAAAACTGCTTTGAATGGCATAACATCAGCTTTTTACTTACCTATAAAAAATTCAATACATTCCTTCCTGGAAAACAACGATAGCACATATACCTGTTATTTCGTCAATTCGAAACCACAAAAACATTGATACTTCGTGACTTTTTTTACGTAGCTCGATTGCAAAAATGCCTCCACAAATGTTTTTGAAAACTTCACGGAGTAGGAGTAGATCAATTTTCTGACCCTTCAAAAGTCGAAAAATCATTGACAGTAATTCTTTTCCATAGTGTAGAACGTCAATCATCTGCAAACAGTACCTACCCTAATAAATAATCTACTTCTATTTCCAAAAGTTTTGGAGACATGAGCGAGGTCAATTTTTGAGGTCACAAAATATTAATGTTCTCGTTATAAAAAAAAGTGTATGCTATTATTGTATTCCATATGGAATGACAATAATCAGAGGTTGCTATTTAGAAATGATTATTGAGGGGTAGCTATCACAGGGCTGTCAAATCTCACAATTTTTCTAGTCATTATGGAAGGTATTTGGATGGCATTCGAAGCAGCTATTAGATTTCTCAATTTTCTTTTTCAATAAGCGAGATATAGTCAGTATACGATAACTTGGGATATCTGGTGATATAATGAAATGAAAAACAAAAATTGTGACAAAACATCTCATCAAGCCACCATAATTATATCTGATGAATTATAGGTATATATATATTATTGTTTCCCTACTAGTTTATACTCAATACGTTGATCCGAAAGCATGATAATTTCATTTTTGGTGCTGAAACAGATACCGAGTGAATACAACTTCACCACGAACAGTGGAGCTGGCGCTAGTATGTTAGACAAACAATGTCTCCCTAGAATTGAACACTACAATCCACAACATAAAATGGGTGATGAACTCATAGCGATTAATGTAAATATCGCTCCTAAAGTCCTCGTTGTTAGGCGATATGCTCCAGTTTCTTCAACAATTCGAAGTTACGAAGACTTGAAGAGTTTGCCATTAGCAATTGATGCGAATTCCTCAAAGTATCATGCGTGCGAATATCTCGATCAGCTCGTATTCGCGAGCACTCAATTCATTTGTCACAAAACTATGAATTCGATTATTCCAATAAGCTCATGTTACACTTTGGGACGTCGCCAGTGGCGATTGATGCGAATATCCCAAAAATCTCGCCTGAGAGAATTGTAT